CACACACACACACACACAACGTGTTACTCTGCGCTGCGCAAAACTCCGCATTTGAATAGTCAGTAGCAAATACTTAAACTAGTAACAAAACATACTTGCAGTAGCTGATTCAGAAGCGCCAGATTGTCATAGCAAAGTCGGAATTGACCCTTTTTTTTATTTATTTTTTTTTATCTAGAAATAGCCTTTGTGCACAGCCAGCCTTGTACTCTTCTAGGTTCAAAAAACTGTCGTCCATAAAATGCGTTGCACAAATTCGAACATCTGGGTTGTGCTGTTCTGTTGTAAATAAATCTTAACCAATGATTCCTAATTGCATCTACTTCTGGAAGGCCAAATAAAGTGCTTTTGCTTTCGCACTGAATCACACAGCGTCTCCCTGACATGGCTGTATCAACACTGCTGCTGTTCCTGAAACCACGCCTTCTTTCTTTGCGTGCACATTTGGGCGGCATTATGCTAATATTTCCACATAGTGACGTAGGTATGTGGGGGCATGTTAGAACGAGCCGTTTTAGGTAGGCGTGGCTGACTCTTAACTTTTATAAAGAATATCTCTTTGGATTTGAGACTTTAGGCTTTGCAACTTTACAGATCTTCTTTATGCACCAAGAGCTTGTAACACTCCAAAGAGAAAGGAAAACTTGAAATCGCATCATATGACCCCTTTAAAAACAGCCGATGATCGGGGGCCGATTATTTCCTGTCAGTCAAAAGAGGGCAGAAAAACGTGTCAGACTGCAACTCATTCTGTGTGTAAAGAAAATCACTTGTGTTGACTTTAGGGCTGTCACCCGATAATACTGCGTCAACTGTTAAAAATAGTGACATTAAAGCAGGCTCTATTTGACCCTAGTAAGTCATACCACGAAATAAACATGAATGAACGTCAGAAGGTATGTTGAATGATACAGGACAAATTACCTAAATGTTTGATGTCTCATGTAATTATTCAGCGTTTCAATCAAAAGAAAGGCATCAAATAAAACAGCTTGCGATCAATATGTCACTTAACGTTGCATTTACCTCAGGAAAGTTATCCAGTGTTCACAGTTGGTTAGTTGGCTATAAAAAAGCACATCTTGCCAGCAGTGAATTCCCCTTTAAGTGTTTGAAAGTGTCCAAATGCATTGCGAGGACACTGTATATAAGAATATTCATTCATTACCAACAAACTATACTTCAGATGTGTGCGTTTATTGAAGTCATGCAGACAGTCAGTCAGTAATGATACTCGCACAAAATTTGGATATGGTGATCAGTGAAAATAATGAAAACTTGCAGTGCAGTTCAGTAAGTGAATCTGATCATGACTCAATCGATCTGATCTATTCGCTAAAGGATTCGCCAGACTGATTCAAATGGTTATCTTTTTGAACCGTGTTTGTTTTTAACTATTCATTAAAAGAATAAGCATAATATTTGTGTGTGGGTTTACTTGTGTAAATGAGTTGACTGTATACAGAGTTTATGATTTTCTTGTGATCCTTGACTTAAGTTTCAGTTCTTCATCACCTTTGAGCAGCTGAAGAAGCTTCCATTGTAGAGTTTGTGACTTGACTGAACTGTGTGTATGTGCTTGTGTGTGTGTGTGTGTGTCTAGGGCTTCTGTCCTTCAGCATTTTCCATCCCTTCTCCATCACACACCTAGAAGTATTTTTATTTAAGAACATTTATTTTGTTCTCATTTGCATTGTACATACTTGACCTATTTAAACACACTTGTTTTTGCACCTAAATGTTTTATTTTTCACTTCTGGCAGCTACCTCGTCCGACAGCGCCATGTTCACAGGCCCAGTGGTGTTTTCATAATATATGCTTGAGAAGCCACACTGGTGAATATTTGAGGTAAAGGGTAAATAGTTTCTCCACACTGGCTTGAGAGTTTGGCATTATAGCATAGTGCTTAAAGTTACTAAAAACACATCCGCCATGTGGGGGATGTAAAGCAATAGTTTAGTGTAGAACTGAATGCAGTTGGTGAATATAAGCAAGAATATTTGAGGTCCACGCACTTCAAATTAGATATTGTCCTTGTAATTTAAAATGCTCACATGTAAACAGCTTCAGTGATAAGAATGTATTTTGCTTCATCTGTAGACTGCAGATACATGTTGCAAACTTCTAGACAGCCCAAATTAATACCAAAGAAACTAGTAAGGGGTGCTGTGGCCTCATATCCTGTATCTTTGAGCTCAATGGGCATTCATAAAACGTGAGCAAATTTCAGTGTAGCTTAAGTCTGTTCTCGCGCAAGTGGTCGCATTTAATTCAGCATCGCACAGAAATTCTGTTGTGCGCAAAAAGCTGCTTTTATCCCATACTATGTCAAGGGCCCCTGAAAAGCTCCATGGAAATGGGTGAGAAGTTTATGCTTGAACATGTACAGAATTCTAAGCACTTGTGACATTGCACAAGCTTTTATTTTCCTTTTTTTTTTTTTTGCCATGTACATTTGCATGTGTGTATGTAGCGTGTGTGTGCTTGCGTTCTGAGAAGCACATGTAAAATGTCATATTTTGGCAGCTGTGAAAGTGTAAATACTGCTACTGTACGATAGAATAAAATATTAGCGTATATAGTTGTTTGTTTGTTAATTTTAAACCAGATTTTGTGGAAATGGGTGTCAGTAGCATTTTTGAGTGCTTGCCTCTTTGCCAAAGTGTACATGTATTAAACCAGAACTGCACTGATGTTGCTGGTTTTTAAAAGTGACATTATTATTGTTATTATTGGGAAAGTACTGTTACATATTTATCATTGTATGTCATCATATTTCAAGCCTTACCACCTCCTGCTTTTATATTTATGCCTTTGCCTGGTTGTTTTATGCCTCTCGGTATGCTAGCCAAACAAGAAGTGTTGAACTTCTGCTATAATTTACTGTCTATATTGTTCATAATCGTTAAAATGCAAATCAAACTGTACTGTAAACTTCTAAGCAAACATTCTTGCTTAAGCTATATGGACAAGCTGTTCTTCATATGACTTTAAGGGGACAAGATTAAAAGGTTTAATGTATGTAATGCGTGGGTTTCAGGGGTTTTCATGTTATACTTGCTTCCAAATTTTTTCTGAACTTTGGCTTTTGCTAGATTGGTGACTACAGCATGGTGCATGATGTATTCCTCTCTAAATAACTTTGGAAAATGCTTATTTCATTATGTGCAAAGACCAAGAACCACATTAACCCATGTGCCAGTGTTCTTACTTCAGTTTACTGTTAGTAACTCACGAATCATAAGGTTGAGAACCTTTTTGCTGTTATGCTCCCACAGTTTTTTTATTTTTCTTTGCAAAATTTTGTAATAATTTTTTCTTCATTTATACGGTTTTATTTACATTTTTAT